AGATGGGTTGTTTACATAGTCTGCAGTCCAAATGGAAGTATATGAGAGAACTAAAAAAAATCCTGTTAATAAACAACCTGGATACCCAGTAGAAACCAAAGTCACTCTGTGCAAACAATGACACTTGAGTGCAATATACCTCTCCAACTGCACAGATTTTGAAAAAGTATACCTTGCCTTAAGGTCCAAGTGTCAAGCCATCTAAAAGGATTGACACGAGGGCCGGCCAAATAGCTCAGTGGATTAAAGTGCCTGCAAGCAGGCGCGGGTGCTGGGGGTTCAATTCCCAGGGCTGCCGTGGAGGCCCTGTCCCCGGGGTGTGCTAAGAAGGTAATGGAGACTGGGCATGGTGGCATGTGCCTGTTATCCCAGTTCTTGGGAGGCTGTAAACAGGCAGATCATGATGAGTCCAATCTGGTAGTGAGACCCTGAACACTCTGTGGACTCTTCCCCTAAATAAATAAATAAATAAATAAATAAATAAATAAATAATTGACACCAATAAGTGCTGCTCTGTCTGACTTGTGTGCTCCTATGTATTACTCACCTCTCCCCGATAGACATGACCTTGAACAGTTTTTCCTGTACGATTACTACGTTCTTGTGCAATCCCAAAGAAAGAGCAGCAGTGTTTATCTCCCGTTCTTACTCATACGATCCCCTGCAGTATTCCTCGTTTTCTCCTCCCTTTGTCTGTTCTGAGTAATCAATGTTGAAGATATTTTTATTTTCTCATACCAATGCACTTGATCACTGCAGAATAACAGTGCCATAGTATTTCATTGTGCCTTTAATTTCAACAGTACTTTGCGCAAGGCTCTTGTATTGCTTCAGTTTTTGTGATTAAAAACAGCACTGGATGAAGTAGTCCTGTGTATGAGTCATTTCACAGATATTGCATTCAAGGTTTTAGAAGGGGAATTCCTGGGTACGTGTACATACACATATATCACTTGGGTAAAGATTACAAAATTTTCTTCAAAACAAAGCATGTTATTTTATTTACTGAGATAAAACAAATGGAAGTATGCTTCTCTGTAGCAATTTCAATGAAGTATTTTTAGTACATTCTTAAATATTTGTGAATGTGAACACCAAAACATTATATCTTGTCATGCTTTTAAATGTCAAATCTTGCTTAGTATGTGTGTGGTGATATTTTATCTTGTGTTAAATGAAACCTATGTTTTTATATTATTGGCTTGAATTCCATCTCTCTCTGTCCCCGTGCAGTAACTCCCTTAAGAAAAGGACATATTTTCCTTTTTCCTTTTTTCTTTTGCATCTAGTTCCTATTCCCATAATATGGTCTGAAGCAAAAAAAAAAAAAAAATCGATATTTTAAACAACTGTCATTTCCTCAGTATTTCATAACATTTTAGTTATATTTGACATTATTGTTTCTAATTTTTAAATTACATTTTAAATAATGTATCATATACAAATGTAAATTAAAATATTTACACGAATACAATCTTAACATGACTGAATTTTTGAAAAACATATTTTCTCCAATATTACCGACAATATTGCGACTTTTCAACGTGATGAAGATCGCTTTTTGTTTCCTAAAACCTTTTAACATAAGTAAATGGTAGACATAAGTTTTCTTCTAAAATCATTATATCCTTGATGGTACCAACAATTGTTGTTTTGTTTTGCTCCATTTTGAAAAGAGAGTCAGTGCTGAGTATATTCTCTCCCCAGATATGCAATGACAGAAATGGAACAGAGAACTCGCTTGAGTATATCAAGACCACCCAAGAAAGCCTAAATCCTTTAGTATATATTTCTGCACCAATTGTTTCTAGATAATGTTTATAATTCCTGTGCTCAGAGATTTTTGGCAGATCTATGTTGTTCAGAGTTATCACTACACAGGCATTACATGTTACCCAGTTAATACAACATATACAAATAGGGAATTATACCCATATATATAAGTGATGTAGAAACTGTCTTAGAATAAGGCTCACAAAATAAGACTATAGAAGGACAAACATGATGAGGATATGTGGAAGAATAGAAACAGAGTTGATACCAACACTCTGAGTACAGCACGCACTGAGTATACTTTCCATTTGAAGGGTCAAGAGATGATGATGGATCTATGCTGACTCTGAAATACAGCCAAAAACAGTGGGTATCTTGCTGCTTGGGAAGGATAGAGATGCAGCAACTTAGTAAAGAAAGTTTGCTAATAACCACCCTGGTGAATTGCCAGATATTTCAAAGACAGTGGGAGATAGGACAAATGTTGGATAAGAGTGATCAGGACTCCCAAACTTTCCAAACACTGATGAGACAATTTCCATAAACAAGTATCTTTTGTTTTCTTACTCAAAAGTTTCCACCCATCAAGGAAAAGCTTTTCTAAGTTTATATTGGCATATTCAATGTTTTCTTTCAATTCACTATGATGATTTTTAGACTGTTAGGCTGTTGTGATTACCTCCTTGCCATAACATTCATTTAGCACCATGCTTGTCCCCATCTGTCTGTCTGAAAAATCAAAGTATATTTGGACTTATGAATTATTTCAATGCTGTACTTCCAAGAGGTAATTGTTTGTGTGATTTTTCTTAACTTCATATGCCTCAAAGTGTACACTCAGAGCTGATACTCAGCTGAGCTCAAAGCTCAGATGCTAAAATCACAACTTTCAATTAAAGGAATAAGGTTATGAATATAATTTTTTTGGCGGAACTGGGGATTGAACTCAGGCTCTTGTGCTTACCACGGAAGTGCTTATTCAATTGAGCCATCTCCCTGGCCCCCTAATGAATATAATTTAAAATGGTCATAAAGAAGTTGGCCAGTTTCACTAAACTGAGATCTGTGTTTGAGCCATTTGATAAGTAATAATTAGGAAAATGAATAGATAATTGTGGACACTATGAAAGCAGGACTGTAGTAAGAAAGAGGAGATAGAATAAGCAGACAAGTAATGATAGTTTGCTGCTAACGGGAAATAAGTTTAGTAGTGACGAATAAAAAAATCTAGCAAAGAGAATTTTCAAGACGTTAACCTTGACTTTAGAGTATACCAGATGTTATTCTAGAGCCAGCAAGATAGCTTGCCAGTCTAAGCTCCTGCCTGGCTAGCACAATGTCCTGGGTAAGATCACTGGTACCTCATGCCATGCTGGCCCTGCACCGAGCAAGCCACCAAAACCAGGCATGGTAGTGCATGCCTGTAATCCCAGACCTAGGCAGGCTGAAAACCAAAGGATTATTACAGTCTGACCCTGTATCAAATAAATAAATGAATGAATAAATAATTTTTTTAAAAAAAGATATCATCCTATACTCATGCCCTAAGATATGTAAGTGGATTTCTCTGTCTCTCTGTCTCTCTCTTTCATGCTCTCTCTCCTTTTCTTTTTACACTGGTGATTGAACCCAGGGACTTTTTTATTTTTTGTTTTTTATGTCAAGCTACATACCCAGAAAATTTGATTTTATTTTGTTTTATTTTATTTCGATAGATGGTTTCACTAAGTTGTTTAGGCTGGGCCCAAAGTTAACAACTTCCTCCCTTAGACCTGAAAATACTAGCATTTCAGATGTGCAACACAGATGTGACTTTGCCACTTTAACGGATGACTATGATAATTGCAAATCTGTAGTGGCCAGAAATGTGTAATGTCCCAAGGATGAAATTCTATAGCCCAAAAGTGAGGTGTGGAAAGTTGTTTACAAAATAAAGCATATATATTTCATGTCCCTGTGTCCAAGTTCCTTCCCCAGAGGAACCCATACTGAGAGCTGATCTACCCAGCTCCAGAGAACATAAAGTGAAGAGCCCCTGGGAGACTCCCGTTCCCAGGAACAATATAACTAGGGGAGTATGCTGGGGTACCAAAGATGCCGTGGTGAATCTAACAGTTTCTGTTGTTATCAAAGAGTCAGGTAACGGGCAGGGATTGTACAGAAGACGTGGAGGTAGCTAAAGAGGAGGATGAAGAGGTGGCTTCAGTCTTTCCTCAGTGATGTCTGTTAGGGTGTACAAATGAAAGTTGGTAACACTGACATAGACCATATACTACAGTAATCTGACAAATGTCTTTTAATGACTCTCTAGAATCATAGATTAAGAGACTTACAAATAGTTTTCTAAAAAAAATCACTAATTTATTTTTATTTTGTAGTAGAAGAAAGTGTGGTAGAGAGGAAATGATGAGTCCCAATATTTATTTCAGACAAAACAAGTTTACAAAGCTAACTACCAAAAAAATGGTTGGGTTCTTTTTGACTATATCTCTTCCTGACCTGTGAAATGTACACCTTAGAAGCCTGATTCATTTTCTTCTCCCCATACCTATTGGAATTACAGATGCACACCTCCTTTTGGCATCCTTCCAAACAATGTATCTTGTCTGCTTTTCAATTATTCACTCTGTATTGCACTTCTGAGCTTTGGGAAAAGCCAGTTGAGTACCCCCAATTATTTATTCCCCTTCAACCTTTAACAAGAACATTGCTAAATTCCAGAGAGTCTTCCTAAGGGGATCTTAGGAGTCAGCTTCTAGAAAGTATATGTTTCCCTTTCCCACGGTGCAGGGTGGCTGGTTGTTGAATACAGAGTATACAGTATGTGTGAATACCTTCAAGTATCATGGAACATTTCATTTGGGAATGTAGAAGAGTCAACAAAAGAAATGTTTTGTCTTTGTATTCTGGCAGGGGCCAGAGGAAGAGGAGCCTGGAGCCTGAGATTCTGATGCTGCCCTGTAGGACAAGCGCTTCTCTGAAGCAAGGATTCTGAACTCCTCTTCATCTCTGTAGGCTAGAGTTTGAGCAAACCACTTCTGACTTCTCATGTCTAGCTCCTCCTTCGCAATGTAAATAGGACTGCTTTGATAATTTCTAAGTTCTTTTCAGGCTTTGGCATTCTGTTTTTTGTTTTGTTCTGTTTTATTCTTTTAGTTTAGAACTTTCTCAAGAGGAAGTGTCCTAAAATCATTCACCTTCTTCCTCTACCACTTGCTGCTGGAATCATGGATCATGTCAACCACACCTGGATCCAGACTTTTGTTCTTGCAGGATTCACCACCTCTGGCATCCTTGGACCTCTTGCCTTCATAGGGATCCTGTGTATCTATCTCCTCACCCTTGCAGGGAATTTGTTCATCATTGTCCTCGTGAAAACAGATTCTGGGCTCTCCACACCCATGTACTTCTTTATCAGTGTCCTGTCCTTTCTGGAGCTCTGGTACATCAGCACCACAGTGCCCACCCTGCTGCACACTTTGCTCCACGGGAGCTCACCCATCTCATCAGCCACATGCTTCACACAGCTGTACATTTTCCATTCCTTGGGGCTCACTGAGTGTTACCTATTGTGTGTCATGGCACTGGACCGCTACCTTGCCATCTGTCGCCCGCTCCACTACCATGCCCTCATGAGCAGACAGGTGCAGCAGTGGTTAGCAGTGATAGCATGGTTGGGTGGCTTCTCATCTGCACTTGTGCCAGCTGGCCTTATTGTCTCTCTGCCCTACTGCTTTAGACAAGTCTCCCATTACTTCTGTGACCTGGCACCCCTGATGCGGTTGGCTTGTGTGAACACAGGTTGGCACACTCAGGTTTATATTGTAGTGATTGGTTTGATCAACACCTGCAATCTTGTTATTATTTTAGGGTTCTATGGAGGCATCTTTAAAGCTGTGCTGAAGCTGCCATCGGCTGCCAGTCGTGCCAAGGCCTTTTCTACCTGTTCCTCCCATGTTACAGTAGTAACGCTCTTCTATGGCTCTGCTTGGATTGTGTATGTGGGCCCCCCTGTGGTGCACTCTGAGGGCAGAGACAAGTTTATTGCTCTTGTTTATGCTTTTCTTACCCCTTTTCTCAATCCTATTATTTATACCCTTCGTAACAGGGAGGTAAAAGAAGCTGTCAGAAGGGTCACTCGAAGAATTAAGGGTGAGATGAAGAAACCCTGACATTTCATTTGACTATGAGCCATCTATTTGATAATTGTATTTTAGGTTGTTAGTTAAGAAAATCAAATAATTATATCAATTGATCAAATCATATGCAAAACATAGAACTAAACTAGACAGTTTTGGAGATGGAAAAATTGAAACATGTAGAAAGAGAAGAAATACGGTCTCACAAACTACTGATATGAGAAAAAAAATGAAGAAATAATAGCAACAATAAAGAATGAAGTGCAATTTTTAGGTTAACTGAGAAACTTGGAAAGAATTGAATCATGCTGTGAGAATCTGAAGAACTAAAACTGATTATGAGGCTATGATCAATATTAAATTCTTGGAGATTGGTCAAGAGGGAATAAACTGAGTACTCAGCCAGCAGAAAAACAAGGGGCATCTAGGAGAAATGTTTGCACATAGGTTGGTGAGCTAGGAAACAAGGTCCTTGGCATGCAGATTTGAGAGTCTCTGTGTGATCCTATAGTAAATGAATACTCACTGTAAGCAGAAATTTTATTCTCTGTTAGGGAAGAGCAGGAGACTGGAGATGAAGCTGCTCAGTGAAAGGATGACCTAAATGGAGAGACACAAACACACCCTGCACTTTGAATTTGAAATGATCAGTAAACTAGAAAACATCATTATTGGAGTCTCTTTTGTGCAGAACTATCTGTGGGAATGAAGTCAAGACATAAAAGTAAGCACATTTTCTGTTTTTCAGAAGCTTGAAGTCTGCTTGGAGGATCTTCCCCATTCTCCCTCTCCCCCTTGCACACAGACCCACACTGTTCAGCAAGCAGAAGCAGGAACACATTGCGTAACCATTTTTCTCTCTGAATCTGCAGTAACAGGAAGGCATGAAAAAGCAGAAGTGTATGGCCTGATGGATGGGGGCTGAGTAAAACCAAAGTATGTTTCAGAGAAGAGTCTCTGACCTTTACACCAGTAGCCTCAAGTTTGGAATCCTAATACTATGAGGGCCCATGTGGCCTGAAATTGTAGGATTTTTTTTTTTTTTTTAGAAATTCTGTGTCTTGGGATAAAAAGACTGCAGCTGTATTGGGGAAAAAAAGGTCATTTTAACAAGCAGGAATTCTGCAGACAGTGCTTTTTTATTTTTAGTAAAATAGTCAATGAGCTTATGTTTCCTATTTTCAGTAATGCCTTTGAAATGTTCCATAATAGAAGATAGCATATTTATTTTAACTAATTGAAAGAGAAAAAATGAATATGATCAAAAAATGTTTGTGGATGACATATAGTAGCACTGATCTCCCTCTGGATTCAGTAATCTTGATTCACGTCACCAGTGTTTCAGAATCTCAAGTTGTCACACGTGGATTGTCCAATTCAAGGTTTTTCTATAAAATTGTAACCTCAGGCAAGTTTTTCCTGGCTATATGTTTATATGTAGACTATATTCTCTGTTGAGATGCTTTATAGACTTTTAGTAAAAGGGAGTTGATTTTAACGTCATTTAACCCTAGAAATTAATCTTGTGAGGGAGAGAAAAATTAAGAATAGGGATCAAATACGTGATTCTTTTTCTTGTACTAGCCCAAGTAAGTTTTCCTTTGTGTGGAGAAGAGGCTAGTTTCCAGTCTTAGGGTAAACCAACATCCAACTTTAGAAAACCTACTTTGAGCAAACACCATTCACTAAGGGATGAATGCCACCAGGAATACAATAGATCTCTGAATTGTTGACATTTTACGAGTAAGTATCATTTTGCAAGTCACCTGGCTAAGACCTGTTTGCCTTTCAAGAAGAGAAAGTAACAAGAAACACTACTGAGAAGCTTAAGTTGATAGCAAGGTCTTCTAAGTCTTTCTGTTGTACCATAGTAGCAATCTCTAACTTTCTTCTTCCAGTAATGTGAGGCAGAAGGCCGATGGCACTGTACATCACTAAGCAGAAGTGGGAGGGAATGCAGGCCTGTGAGGCACCAACCTCCTCTGCAAGACTGTGCTCTCCACAGTGAACCCTCACTTCTGTAGCCAATGTGTTCTGCCAGGGAAGCTTCCAAGGCTTACCTGGTCAGTCATTGTGTTACTACTTCCTGCTACTGAAACAGTTTATGTTGTATAAATCCAATTGTTGTCTTCCAAAATTGAAGAATAAATTTGAGAATAAAAGAAAGCATTTAGGAGAGTTTTATTAAAAATAATAAGAAGAAAGCTCTTGGTGGAATCTACACAGAGGAAAAAGAAGTGAAATGTGCATTCTTTTTTCTTTTAGTACATGGTCTACAGGGTCTCACTACATAAGTTGGACTCATAATCATCTGTTTTCAGCCTCCCAAGTGCTGGGATTACAGGTGCACACCATCATGCTAGTCTCAGTTGCTGTCTCATCATGCCCTGGGGTTTGGGGCCAGCACAGAACGCAGTGCCTAGGATTGATTCCCTGCCCACTGCATCTGCCTAAGCAGATGCTTTATTCCATGGAGCTACCTGGTTGGCCCAAAATGTACATTTTTAGTCTTAGTCTTATGTACATAGGTAGAGCATGTGTACATGTTTGGGTGTGAAAATCAAAAGGAATGAGTGCAAAATAATTAAAGAAGGAACTGGTTGTCTTGCATTTCTAAAGTTTTCTCCAATTCAGTCCAAAAGTCCAGGTTCAGAGGTAGAAATGAGCTCTTGCAGCTGGTATCTAATTTGGCATACCTTGAATGAATTTTTATCCTGGAATAGAACCCTGTTTCTCTAGTCTTGTCTCAATATTTTACCCTTTTGTCTTGTGCTTTCTTTTACATTTCTAACTTTAATCAATTCTTGATTCACTGGATTGAATTATGTATTTTTTTCTAACTGTATGTCAGGCTGTTCTTTTTTACCAGCCAGGTTTATCTGCTGTCACTGATCAAATCAAAGGATGCCATATATTTGGGTAAAAAGGGAAAAAAATTGTTCAAAACTAACTCTGAAGAGATGAAGAGACCTATTTGCCTCATATCACCATCTCACTGGTTACAGTTGGGTAAAGGTCTTTTATAGGGCAGGACAGAGGGGAAGGAGAACACAGAGAGGAAATGCAATCTTCATGTTTGCTTTTTTCATTTCCAGCCATCTTCAGTCCACTGTTCCATCTCTTTCAAAAAGAAGCTGGGCTTCAGCCCTCCTGGAGTCAGCATGTTTTTTTTCCTTGTCTGGGCTAAGGAAAGATGAGGGAAGCCCTTCATAGCTACACTTCAGGATGCCACTTGTTTCTAAAGGAAAACAAAACAAAACAACAAACTATTCACTTTTAAACTTCTACTTTGTAGTACAGGCTACAATTGTTTCCTTCTTTTCAAGTCTTACGGTGTTTGTTTGTTTGTTTGTGTGTTTGTTTGTTTTTGTGGAACCAGGGATTAAACTCAGGCCCTTGCACTTGACAAGCAAGCACTTATTCTACTGAGCTGTCTCCTCAACCACTCAAGTCATAAGTCTTGATGGCCTTGAGGTTGCTTGGAGGTTGCTTGTCTCCATTGGATTGACACATAAATTCTGGAGCAGGAAAGGGAAGGGAAGTCAGATGCTTGAGCTCAAAAAAGTATCCCTAAAAGTTGTAAAGTCCAATACCGAAGAAATAACAAGTCAGAAAATATCTCACCATTACACCTGCTAAAAAAACTTTCTGGTTTTAGGAAGTCATGAATAAGGTCTCCTTTTTGTAACCTCTTCAGCTGTATTTATTTTGATGAGGTGACACACAGGTGACTCTTAGATGCTTGCTACTTTCATTGGTCATCTCTGAATGTAGGTTTTTTCTCTTTCTGAAAGCATTGCCAATTAACAACCTGTAGTCCAGGTTTTCCATTTTTTGCTAAGTGGAGGTGCTGGGAGCAGAAATCAATTTTCAATAAGCAAGTTTTAGTGAATAATGTGAAACCAACTAGTATAGAATGAGGCAAAGATTGTTCAAAGTGAAGAAATTTAAACCCTGATGAACTCTGACACAAGTAGCTGCATGGTCAGTCAGTACAGGAAGTTCTTGCTTGTACTTGTCAGAAATCTAGAGAAAAACAAAGAAAGTAGTTATAAATAATATTGTAGCCAAAGTTACTCCAAACAACCTTTTTTTAAAATGGAATCAGAGTTAGGACTTTGTACTTGTTAGGCAGGAGCTCTGCCACTGAGCTATATTCCCAGCCCCCAAGGAAGCTTTTTAAGGACAGATCCATGAAACCAGAGTATGTTTTCAGTTACACAGGCCATGGTGTATGACAATAAAATCACTTTTATCTGAGTTTCAGATTATTACAAGTTTTCTAGTGAGCTGCAATGTAGCAAAAGCATTTTTACTTTTGAGTGATTTACAAGAATTCATGCACACAGCCAGTGAGAATCTACATATCAAAATCTCTTAAATCAAATTGGTTTATATGTTGATAAATTGTTCAAGAATTGAACTCTATATTGGCTTACAAAGAAAGCTCAAAAGCTCAGAATAACATTTTGTTTCAAATGCCTTACAAATGTCTAGGTGATACGGTAACTCTAATACCCATCTAAGAATAAAGGTTATAAGAAGAGAAAGAAAAACAAAAGCATGCCAGAGCAAGGCAAAAAAAAAAAAAAAAAAAAAAAAAAGAAAAAAGGAATACTCTAATCCAAACCAAATTAAACTAAACCAAACCAAACACTTACATAGAAATGTTTTTTCTACCTTTAAATCTGTTCTTACACCAATCATGCCCCAATATGACTTGTACTAGGTCTAAACAGCTACAGATGGTGACAGCACTTGCTTCACTCCAAACAACACTGATGACCAGCCAGTGACCTTAAATGACTAGCAAGAGGTTCAGAATGACACCAAATTGTGAAGATACTTACCTCATCCCAGAACACTGCTAAATGACCTAATAGAAGGCCCGAATTGTGAAGACAGAAGATCACATGCCTAAAGTTCTCATTCCAGTAGAAAGTTGGAGAAGCTTCGGATTTCTTAAATCAGACAGAACTTTCTGTCTCTGGTATTTAGATAGTTTAAAATGTTACATATGTTTTTCCTTATAT